CAGTATTGCAGGCTAACTCTGCAAAGCTTGTTTAGTAACTTTTCATAATTTGATAGCCTTCAAATTGGTAGGTCAATTTCCAAAAGTGCTAGCCTTGTGGGGTTGCTATCAAACACATCTGAAGGCCACCAAACTGCACTACGGTAGTTCTGTTACTGAACACACACACAAACACACACACATTTAAAGAGAAAGTTTGTCTCTTACAGCAATAAGAAGTGCAGCACATCAAATGGCCTCTCACAGAACTTCATTATTCCAATAGAGGCCTTGACTTTCCTCTCAGTGTCCTTTTATGTAGTCTGCAGTTGCGTCCATTGATTGTAAAAAGAATACCAGAATAACAGATTGGAAGGGAACTTGGTGGTCTTCTAGTCCAACCCTCTAATCAAGGAGAAAACCCTAGACCATTTCAGACAAATCGATGTCCAACCTCTTCTTGAAAACTTCCAGTGTTGGAGCACTTACAACTTCTGGAGGCAAGTCGTTCCACTGATTGATTGTTCTCACTGTCAGGAAATTCCTCCTTAATTCTAGGTTGCTTCTCTCCTTGATTAGTTTCCATCCCGTTGCTTTCTTATTCTGCCTTCAGGTGCTTTGGAGAATAGGTTGAGCCCCCCCTTTTTGTAGCAGCCCCTCAAATATTGGAAGACTGCTATCATGTCCCCCCTAGTCCTTCTTTTCATTAAACTAGACGTACCCAGTTCCTACAACCGTTCTTCTCACAACGAGATCACAAGACAGTGGGTTGAGAACTCTGGGAAATGAGGGATCTTACTCAAACCAGTCAGTACCTTCAATGAGAAATACAGGTAGTTCTCAACTTACGACCACAATTGAGCCCAACATTTCTGTTGCCAAGTGAGACAGTCGTTAAGTGAGTTTTGCCCCATTTTATGACCTTTCTTGCCACAGTTGTTGAATGAACCAGGGCAGTTCTCAAGTTAGTAACACGGCTATAAAGTGAATCTAGCTTCCCCATTGACTTTGCTTGTCAGGTCACAAAAAGGGATCACGTGACCATGGAGATGCTGCAATGGTTATTAAGTGTGAAAAATGGTCATAAGTCACTTTTTTTTCAGTGCCGTTGAATTGGCATGAATTGAGCTGTAAGTTCACCATTACTTGCACTTTCTTTTTTAATCTCTTTCAGAAACTGCTTGTTTTTAGTTATCAGGCGGCTTTGAATCAACAAGTCTGAAAACATGGGGCGAGTTTCCTTCAATCCTTAGTGAAAGTGAAAGAGGTTTTAAATACAAGTTCAAGAATTATTTAAAAAAAAATCTGTAAGAAAGACCAAAGGAATGATTAGAAACTTTTATTTTGGAATGTGACAAATGGACTAAAGGTCCAGATGGGTTAGAAATAAGATTTTGGAATTCATAAGGATTTTTTCTCAGTGGGAAAATGCTTGTTTTGAATTCCATTTAAAAAAAAAACATGATAGGTTAGGAATTTGAAGGTTGACTACTAGAGGGAACTAGAAGGAACTAAAGATTACAGTTAAAGGAGAAAAACTTAAATTCGACTTACTAATGGGGAATGGAGCAAGGAATTTTAACTTTGGACATACTGAAGGGTGTTTTCAAACAACAGACTCAAAAGGTAATTTTAAGATTGTCTGCATCTATGCAGAGACTGTGTTTAAAACAGGGGTCTTCAAACATGGCCCTCCTTTTATGACTTGTGGACTTCAACTCCCAGAATTCCTCAGCCAGGCATGCTAGCTGAGGAATTCTGGGAGTTGAAGTCCACAAGTCATAAAAGGGCCAAGTTTGATGACCCCTGGTTTAAAACATGTTACGGAAAAGGAACAAGTTTTACCTGACAAGATTGAAACTGGTTTAAAAAGTAGATTTAAAAAAAATAGGCCACAAGAACGACAGGGGAAAAGTTGTTACCCTGGACATAAAAAAAGAAACCAGTTGATGCCTTAATAATTAAAAGGGTTAAAAATAACATACCAAGAAGCTGACCTGAATAAATTTTTCTATACAAGCAGTCCTTGACTTACAACCATTCGTTTTGTGACCGTTCATAGTTACAATGGTATTGAAAAGAATGACATATAATTGGTCCTCATACTTATAACTGCCACAACACCCTCATGGTCACATGATCAAAATGTGGGCGCTTAGCAACCAGCATGTACTTAAAATGACTGCAGCATTTTGATCACCAATGGGGGAAACCAGATTTGCTTAACAACTGTGTGATTTATTTAACAACTGCAGTGATTCATTTAACAACCATGACAAAAATGGTTGTAAAATTGGGCACAACGTACTTAACAGCCTCACTTAACACAAATTGTGATCTCAATTGTGGTTGCGAGTCGAGGCTTGGTAAGCTTTGAAGAACTTTGTGAGAAGCAACAAAGAAAAAATGAAAAAAAAAACCAAGTTTAAGGAGATTATTTGAAGGGACTAAAAACAGAGATTTTTAAAAGTAAAATGAAGATGTGTAAAATTTGCTTATTTGATCAAGGTTAAAAACGATATGGTAATCCTTAATGGACTTTTGCTGATCAGCCCCAACATGATGAGATTTTAAGAAAGGATCATTTCTTGCGTTTTAAAGGTGATAAATTACTAAAATTGTTGTGAAGAAGCAGGAAGCCATTTCTTTATATATTTCTTTTATTTTTCTTTGCTACATTCCTGATTTTTCTTTTCATTTTTGTGTATCAGTTTTTCTTTTTTATTCTTTTCCTCTTTTGGTATTAGTTTTCATCATTGTAAGTGTAATTTTTAATAAAATTACTATTATAATAAAAAAAATGTATTGGCACATAATCCATCAGAATTCCTATCACTGGAAGAGTTTAAAAGTGATGCATTATGCAAGTTAATAGGGGAACCTCATTTGCAAGAAGCAATCAACCACAGTTCTCAAATTTGCATCTGACAATATCAATCCATTTGAAAGGTTTTTTTTTTTTTAGTAAGGTAGGTGCATTAATACGTAGTAGCAGGTGTCACCTGCACAAAGACAAAAATTCATTGCTTTCAGCACATTTTTAAAACCGGGAATGTTAAAAAGTAATTAATGTTGCCCAATAAAGGACACAGATGAATGCTATTCAGTTAATGGAGAGTTTTAATAGCCGAGTTAATTAAAACATGCAGCCTTTAAAATTCACATCTACTTTATAAAATAATGCTGGAAAGGTGAATCAGTTCTGAAAGAGTTGTGCACTGGGGGTTAAGAGAACAGAGATTAGAGAATTAAAAATTGTGGTTATGTTGGTAGTGTTACTCCCTCCACTCAAGGCTGTGCCAGCATGCAATTCAGGAGTAAAATCTGGATTGCTTGTGCCTTGATTATTACAGGTAGTCCTTGACTTACGACCACAATTGAGTCCAAAATTTCTGTTGCTAAGTGAGACCTTTGTTAAGTGAGTTTTGCCCTATTTTACGACCTTTTTTGCCATAGTGGTTAAGTGAATCACTGCAGTTGTTAAGTTAGTAACATATTGTTAAGTGAATCTGGCCTCCACATTGACTTTGCTTGTCAGAAGGTCGCAAAAGGTGATCACGTGACCCTGGGACACTGCTAAATGTCATAAAGAATCAGTTGCCAAGCATCTGAATTTTGATCACGTGACCACGGGGATACTGTGACGGTCGTAAGTGTGAAAAACGGTTATACGTCACTTTTTTCAGAGCCGATGTAAGTTCGAAAGATCACTAAACTGTATGCGTTACTAGAACGTATGTGCAAATTCACCAACAAAACCACAGTTGTAAGAAATGAAGAACAATCAAACTATGTATTTTTATTTATTATTAATTTTGAGGAATAGCATATTTCATACAAATCCTTTTGCTGGATATCACTTGTTAACAGCCTGGGGGGTTCTTTTAATTTTTCAGAATTTCTTGGGGAAGGCATTATGGGGACTATGCATTCAGAGCTACTACTGACATCATAGGTTTTGTAGTCAAAGGTTCTTGAAGCAAATAAAAAAAAACAACAAATCTTTAGCTTATAGCTAGAGACTCAGCTAGGAGAAACTTTCAGTGGTCTGTAGGATTTCAGAGTTTAAATTAGCATTGCTAGATCGGAGATTATCTCCGCACATTTAAAAAAAAAACACCTGTAAAATCATAATTTATATCTACCTACAATCCCAGCAGGTTTTTTTCCCCTCTCTTGGATAAAACAAAACCAATTAATTCAATAATATAGAGAGTGGAGAAAAAGACGCAGAAAAGTACAGACATTTTGGGGGAATCCACATCACAAAATGTAAGCCAGTTCCAAACCTCTCTTGATTATTCTGGCTCTCCAGGGAATGAGTTTCGGAAATAAACATTCTATAAGCCAGTTAGTGGTCCTACCGATGAACAACCTCAAAATCTGGAGTCCCACTTATTCCAACGGGTCCCTCTTTCAAAATTGGGCTAAATTAGGATTTCTGTCCCAAAGGTCGCAGGCGAAAAGTCACAAAATGAAACTGGCTTCATGCCCAATTCAGGTGGCTTTGTAGCGCAGATGTGCCCAGATGAAAAACAGCACAATAATACATTTAAGAGGAGGGATTGGAAGGGTGATTTTTCTACATAGTCTAGCTACATTTGCTACCTAGCTTTCTAGCCTCTTGCTTCTCTTAGCGCTATGCTGAACTTAACTTTTAAATTTCCAAATAACATCCAGTCTGAGTTGGCCAACCAGCAGCTAACTCACAAACTAACAAACAAACAAACAAACAAAAAAATCCAGAGCACTCATGCCCCTTTTTCATAATAAATAGCTGAGCATCTTAGGAACTCCGCAATAACACTGCGCCGTGAGCCATTATCCCCTCAAGGGAAAAAATGCAAATGTTCCTAGATTTCTTTTGAGGAGAATCACCAGCGAAGATCTTCTTTAGATCATGTGGCATCTGAAAACAGTCCAGTTGGCCTTGGATAGATTGAAAGGAAGTTCTATTTGGAATCCAGGGGTGAAGTAGCAGAAGTCTTAATGGTAGAGGAGTTTGCAGGTGGGATGGGATGGGGAAGGGGGAATCCCATCCAGGTGCTTCAAAATGATTCACAGTAGACTCAGATCTTCAAAAGGCTTTCTTCACTGGGTTGTCTTTGATCAAGCCCACGCCACCCAACTTGACATTCCAGTGGGTAGGGGAAAAGCTGCCTTTCCTGCACTCAAGTCAGCTCGGCTTTCTTCTCAGCATCCATGTCCCGACTTGCTCTTCACCAACTATTTAGCTCTCATAACTTAAAAGGCCTCTTGGCCGTCAAGAGGAGGGATGGGTAAATAAATAAGCGACCTCAGCCATGGCCTTCATCATTAAGAACCCACGTCAAGATCATAGCAGCAATTGCAGCAAGGACCCAGCCACGCATTAACCTCTCCCCAGAAGCGTGGACCTGTAGAGAAATCAAATAGAGAAGGGAGACCTTCCGTTAGGACACCAGGAAGACACTCGGGTGAGTTTGCCCATTGCTTTGGAACGGTAGGTCACGTGTCCATCTGAACTGCCATCAGGGCCAGTCTGCCTGCTTTAAGAGAAAGGTGTACAGTTAAGCCCTTGACTTTTGACCACCGTTGACCCCCAAAATTTCTGTTTCAAAGTGAGACATTCGTTAAATGAGCCTTGCCCCTTTTTATGACCTTTCTTGTTACAGTTGTTAAGTGAATCACTGCAGCTGTTAAATTAGTAGCACGGTTGTTAATCTGGCTCCCTCCTTGACTTTGCTTGTCAGAAAGTCGCAAAAGGGGATCACACGATCCCGAGTCTCTGCAACCGTCATAAATACATACCAGTGTCCGAATTTTGATCATGTGACCATGGCGATGCTACAACAGTGGTGGCGAACCTATGGCACGGGTGCCAGGGGCGGCACGCAGAGCCCTCTCTGTGGGCACGCGCGCTGTCGCCCCAGTCCTAGGCCTTCAGCTGGGTTTTATAAAACCTTTTCGCTTTAAGCCTCCGCCGCTGTGTGCAAAAAAAAAAAAAGGTTCAATCAGTCAATTTCAACTTCTCATGGAAAAAAAAAGATCTTGCAAAGTTGGAACTGATTGATTGAACTTTTTAGTCCCACCCAGTCTGCCGTTACCACCGTAGCTACGTCCACCCAATGGGCCACACCCACCCAATGGGCCACGTCCACCCAATTGGCCATACCCACCCGGCACTCGATGATGCATGTGGGTTTTGGGTTGCAGTTTGGGCACTCAGTCTCTAAAAGGTTCGCCATCACTGTGCTACAATGATCACAAGTGTGAAAAGTGGTCATAAATCACTTTTTTCAGGGCTGTTGTAACTTCAAACAGTCCCTAAAGGAATGATTGTTAAGTCGAGGACTACCTGTATAAAGCAAAAATGACATCCATCACTCCTATCCTATCAACAGGATAAAGAGCTGTGGCGCCCATAAAAAGCTGTGGCAGCATAGGGGCTAGAGTGCCATATTGCAGGCTAACTCTGCCAGCTGCCAGCAGTTCAATCCTGAATGCCTCAAGGTTGACTCAGCCGTCCATCCTTCTCAGGTTAGTAAAACAAGAACCCAGATTGTTGGGGGTAAGATGCTGACATTTGTAAACCCCTTAGGGAGGGCTGTAAGGCACTATGAAGTGGTATATAAGTCTAAGTGCTATTGCTATTATTATCCCAACAGGAAAAAAAAATGGTAGCGAGGAGTTCCAACGCAAGAGGAAATATTCAGCCTGTTTATGAACACCGGAAACCTTTAGCACTAACCTGAGTGTCTTCCACCTGTCTTTTTCAATGTGATTCTCTGGACCTTCACTTTCATACGACGCCAAATAAAGTGCTGCAACCAGAAGGAAGAAAATATGAGCATTACAGGTATCTTCTAGTGCAGGGGTCTTCAAACGTGGCCCTTTTTATGACTTGTGGACTTCAACTCCCGGAATTCCTCAGCCAGCGATGCATCGCTGGCTGAGGAATTCCGGGAGTTGAAGTCCACAAGTCATAAAAGGGCCAAGTTTGAAGACCGCTGTTCTAGTGTCTTGAATTATGTTCCCTGTGGGATAGCAAGGCCATCGTTTCAAATGGGTGGTCCTTAGATCTGCGGGGGAAATAATTGTCTCATATCTAACGGGGTTAAAAAAAAAAAAAGCTCGTGTGAACTGGAGCACACGTAATAGTTCACAAATGAGATTCAAGGCTCCTATGAACATCCTTATTATGGTATTATGGAAGGAAGGGTAGACATGTTAGCTGCTTTCTCCTTCTCCCTTCAATGCTCTGAAAAACTGTTCCAAAAGACTGGGAGATGCACCAAAATAATTTCGGAAGCAATGCTAAGATCTGCAAGACGACAAGGGGGAATTTTAACCAAGGAAATTGGTTAAATTGGTGTTTTTGCAATGCAAGGATGTGGTACTGTGGTCGTAAACCACAAGCACTCTGTGGCCTGATTGTCCAATTAGTTCAGACAAGCAAGACTAATCTAATAACAGAGTTGGAGGTCTTCAAGTCCAGCCCCGTGCTCAAGCAGAAGACCCTAGACCAGGGGTAGGCAACCTTGGCTCTTTTATGACTCGTGGACTTCAACTCCCAGAATTCCTGAGCCAGCATGGCTCAGTATGAAAACTTCTCCCTTTCCCCTCAGCATGGCTGGCTCAGGAATTCTGGGAGTTGAAGTCCACGAGTCATAAATGAGCCAAGGTTGCCTACCCCTGGCCTATACCATTTCAGACAAATGGTTGTCCAGTCTCTTCTTTAAAACCTCCAGTGTTGGAACACCGACAACTTCTAGAGGCAGGTTGTTCCACTGATTAATTGTTCTCACTGTCAAGAAATTCCTCCTTAGTTCTAGATTGATTCTGTGCTTGGTTAGTTTCCATCCACTGCTTCCATCTATGCCACAGCTTGTGGCGTTGGAAGGAAAATAAAAGTGGGCCATTACGTACCATCCTGTCTGTCAAAATAAGCGTGATACACAATATACCGAGCGGTTACGGGTGTTCTCCTCTTACCGTCCTCACTGAAGGCTGGAATGGTGAGCAGGTACTGAAGGATTTTCCGGTCCCTCTCAAAAGGACACTCCACTTGCTTCCATGTCATAAACTCACTCACTTGTTTAGCCAGCTCCCAAAATTTCTGCAAGGAATTAGCAAAATAAAATTTTAAAAAAAGCACACATGAATGAAGCAGGTAACAGGGTTCCATTCAAATAAGGCAATGGGGTTTGCTCTTCTGCTTCAGAAGGACAGATCAGATGTGTGTTGCAACGAAGGAGATTATTTGCATTTTAGGATTGAAATGAGAGGTCCTTGATGCTCTCTGAGCTTGCTTGTGTTCTTGCAGACGTTTCATTACCCACGCTAGTAACATCAGTGCTAGAAGGGAGTGGGATTTGCTCAGTTTATATTCTAGTGCAGAGATCCCTAACCTATGGGCCATGGCCCACTACCGGGTTGTGGCCTCTTGGCCACTGGGCCACGTAAGTGACTGGCCAGCGCATGTGTTCACCCTGCCTCGTGCTGGCGCTAGCCTTGGCGTGACTCTTGGTGTGGCTCTCGTGCCGGCACTAGCCTCGGCACAACCCTCACACCTGTGCTAGACTGAGCATGACCCTCGCGCCTACGCTAGCTTCAGCGCGACCCATGATTCTTGTACTGGCACTAGCCTTGGCACAGCCCTTGGTGTGACTCTCATGCTGGCACTAGCCTCAGCGCAATCCTCGCGCCTGCACTAGCCTCGGCATGACCCTCGCGCCTGCGCTAGTCTCGGCGTGACCCTTGGTGTGATTCTTGCACTGGCGCTAGCCTCGGCGCCATTTACGAAGCGCTAGCAGCCCCATTTACAGAGCGCGTATGCTCGCGGCCCCATTCATGCTATGTTCGCACAGCTACATTTGGGTGTGTGCGCATGCATGCGTAAAGGTGTCTGCCCCTCCCTTTCCCACCAGGCCACCCACCCAGAAAGGTTGGTGATTCCTATTGGGAGTGATTTGCCCTATCAGTGTTGTGGGGGTGGTCTTAAAAAGGTTCTTTGGTTTGGCTATTTGCTGTTTGTTTGGCTAGCACTACGTAGCTAACCATAAGCAGCCCAAGCAAAGAACCTCCCAGACATTTCCCACCAATTCTGACAGGGCAATTCACTAGATTATAAACTGAGAGCAAATCCCACTCTCTTTCAGTACTGATGATGTTACCTAGTTTGGGTAAAGAAACGTCTGCAAGAAAACAACCAAGCTCGGAGAGCACTAAGGACCCCTTTGTAACTGTTGCCTTTGGAATTCTGCTCAAGTTCTGCTCCTTCATGCCTCTGAGGATGGACTATTCCTTAATTCTGTGTGTTGGGGAAGAAAAGACCAGTGCTTTGTCAATGAAAACAAGGCATCGTGGCCCAAAGCATCCTTTTTTTTGCAAAAATTAAGTTAATACAATTCTTATTGTTTTAATAAATGACAATTAGGTATATGGAATAATATATATGGAATACTTATAATTAATATATGGAATACAGATTATAGAAATCAATGGTTAAGGAGTGTTTTTACAAATGTAATCCAGACAACACACTGTTTACCAATTATTGAGTGACTTATGTTTTGTTAAAAAATCAATAAAATATGTTATAAAAAAAAAAAGAAAACAAGGCATCTTGGACATGCTCAGGGGAGACGGGGTTCTTCAAAAAAAACGAACAACAATTGGAAGGGAAGGAAACATGCCAGAGCCAAGTGTTTGTGGTGTTTGCCCCCTGATGTAACCCTTACAAAGTTTCTGTACCTGCATTCCAAAATCTTAACTAGGCTTTCTGCTCAAGGAAGTCAGCGTTTAAAAGGCATTGGGAAACCCTGAGCAGGCTCTACTTACTTCAAAATTGACGTGGCCGTTGGGCAAGCGATTGGCACAGCCTTCGTTGAGGAAGTAAATGTCCTTGATAAGCAGGCTGAAAAATGGGATCACAATCTATAAAAGAAGAAAGGGAGGTGGGGGGGGGGGAAGAGAAGAACCCAGATTAGCAACAGACCTGTCACTGGAACAAGAGGGGGGGGGAATTCTTTGATACATTTGGGACAATCTTATATAAATAAAAATGTAAATGTTCGTTTGTTCAAAATCTTAAATCTCCGAAAGTTCTTCACCGATTGCTTTGAAATTTTGACACAACGTTGCATTCAAATACGCGCGTGTTTTTATATACCTACTATTATATAGATGTCACACCTGTGACAAGTAAAAACATGCTTTTTTAAAAAAAAACAGCGCCATCTGTTGGACGTAAAAGCAACACACTTCTTTTCCATTTAACCAGACTGAGCCACAGCAACGCGTGGCCGGGTACAGCTAGTAATGAATAAACTGCATCACGTTTGAGGCAGAGGTAGCTCTCTAAAGCTATACAACAAAAAGATTGCTGAAGGTAAGCAAAAACGATCCTTTGCTTGACTATCACCTCTAGTCAAACACTTCTGCAGAATTTAAGAGTTCAAGCATCCCAGTAAGCCAAGGGTGGGGAACCATGGCCCTTTTATGCTGGCTCAGGAATTCTGGGAGTTGAAGTCCACAAGTCAAAGATGACCTTGCTTCTCTCTTTCCTAGACCGTACCTTCTCTCTGCTGCTGTGAGCTGTTAAAGACCTCTGGGTGGCCCCACGTAGGGCAGTGCGGTAATTGTAGAAATTGCTGGAAGGGTCCATTTGATGCTGGAAGAAGAAGGAGAAGTGGAAATGCAGAGAATTAGTTTTGCGCCAGAAAATGCCCTAAAATTCCATTAAAATATGGCTTTAAAAGTCCTATTTCCAATATAAAGCAGACACAGAACAGTTTTAAAGTTAAGAGTCAGGACAGGTTATGGATCAAAAAGCTAACCAAATTTTTGGGGGAAAAAACCCCAAATGAAGCAAATAATTATAAAATTTCATTTCTGGCTGAAAGTGCCGATGATCAAAATGATTTGAAAGTAGCAACAGGTTCATTGGTAAACACAAGGAACCGTTTTCAAAGATCAAAATCTACTATGGTATCTTCCTTAAGTGTTGGGATTACAAATTTAAGGATTCCCAACCTAAGATCATGCAGATTGGGAATTCTGGGTGCTGCAGTCTCAATACATCTAGCCATAGCATCTCAGACAGTGTTCCACTTAAGAGTGTATCAGACTAAGAAAATGCAGTCAGGACATTTAGTAACTGTGAGAGGGACCTCGGAGTCCTCGTGGACAATTACTTAAATATGAGCCAGCCGTGTGCTGCAGCTGCCAAAAAGGCCAACACAGTGCTGGACTGCATTAACAGAGGGATAGAATCAAGATCACGTGAAGTATTAATACCACTTTACAATGCCTTGGTAAGGCCACACTTGGAATACTGCATCCAGTTTTGGTCACCACGATGTAAAAAAGATGTTGAGACTCTAGAAAGAGTACAGAGAAGAGCAACAAAGATGATGAGGGGACTGGAGGCCAAAGCATATAAGGAAAGGCTGCTGGAATTGGGTATGTCTAGTTTAATGAAGAGAAGGACGAGGGGGGACATGATAGCAGTCTTCCAGTATCTCAGGGGCTGCCCCAAAGAAGAGAGTGTCAAGCTATTTTCCAAGGCACCTGAAGGCAGGACAAGAAGCAACGTGTGGAAACTAAGCAAGGAGAGAAGCAACATAGAACTAAGGAGAAACTTCCTGACAATTAGAACAATTAACCAGTGGAACAACCTGCCTCCAGAAGCGGTGAATGTTCCAACACTGGAGGTTTTTAAGAAGAGACTGGACAGCCATTTGTCCGAAATGGTATAGGGTTTCCTGCTTGAGCAGGAGGTTGGACTAGATGACCTTCAAGGTCCCTTCCAACTTTACTATTATTATTATTATTATAAGAACACCAGAGACAACTCATCAACTCTGTACAACTGGATAACTGAAGAAGCTTCTCGGACGAGAAGCGAAACGTGTTCAAGGAAAAACAAAATCCAGTTGCCTTTTGAAAAAGCACCTTTGGGACAACCATGACCTGGATGACTGAGCATCTCCACAGATAACCGGATAACGAAGATCCAGACTAAAAGGTCAGACTTACCTCCAGAATGTCAAACTTGGCAGTCTTGACTTTTGACCAAGTTTTCTTTAATCTGGAGACAGGAGTCATATTCATGCCAGCTTTTATTTCAAAGTGTAAAGAGAAAGAGAAGAACACAGAGACAAAAGATAAAACACACAGCTGTATTTGAAGCCGATTCTGAATCACAGGAGAAATTAATCAACCATTAAAGATATCTACTTTTTTCATTTTTCTTTTTTCCATTCAATTACAACCAATTATCCCAAAACATACAATTTAAAAATGCAATCATGGTTAACATTTACATAGACAGAAATTCAGAAAGCTATGTTTCTTTCTAGACACATTCTTGTCATAAGCATTTTGAGCACAGATTTCTGGCTACCAATTTCTTTAACAGAAATCTGTTTCAAGACAAATATGTGGTGGATTTCCTTTGCTTTCCTACCAGAAGACACATATAAAGTAAGCTTTGAAGAATGTTTCACAAGGGTTAAGCAACTTCCAATTAATACGAGACTTATGTAAACTCAACATTAAGTCAAAGGCTTAAAAGATGGCAGCCATTTTTAATGCAATCTGGCTGAGGCAAAAAAGCAACAACAAAAAACCAGGTTATGTGAGGGATCCTGGTTGGATTTTCCATCTTTGCACAGATTCACCAATGAAGTAAAACTGGGTTGAGCACAGGGCATATTTTGGGCATGAAATGTCACTTTGGGGAAGATGAGAAAGAAGAGAACAGAGGCACATCAAGAGTTGCCTTCTCTAGTCTATTACTTTTCACAAGTTTAAGACAGGTGGACTTCAACTCCATAGCTGGCTGGGGAATTCTGGGAGTTGAAGTCCACACATCTTCAAATTGCCAAGGTTGAGAAACACCAGTTTAAGACGTACAATTCCTAGAAATCCCAGGAACCCTAACAAATGTGGAAGCTGCCAGGTTATCCAACAAGATCCAGAAGCTTCCTAATTTGGGGCAGAATTAGATGAAGGAGAACCATCTAAGCACTTTTTCCAAAGCATAACAAAAAGGAAATGGATAGAAAGCCTTCTTATTCATACTCACAAATAATAGCCATTAAAGAGTTAAAGTTGCCGATGTTGAAGCACTCTCGAGCGACATCAATGAAGTATTCTATCATTCTTGCTCTGTGTTTTTTCTTGATAGGCTGTGAGAGAGCAAAACACAAGATTGGCATTTAGTTGAGAATGTGCCCAAATTTGAAGAAGGATCTCTTGAGCTTTTTAGAACATCACATTTAATTTTTAAAGAAACAGTTACATTTCAGGCTGGAGTCAGAGGTAAAGGTCTCCCTGTCTAGTCTGTTTCTTGGCCAACATTGTCTGAAGACATTTCCGTCATCATGTGGCCAGTATGGTTATTTGCCAAAGGCACATAGAGCATCGATAGCTTCCCACCGAAGTGGTACCTATTAATCTACTCGCATTTGCATACTTTCAAACTCCTAGGTGGGCAGGAGCTGGGGCAAGGAACAGGAGCTCACCCAATCGCACAGCACTCGGGTCTCAAACCCGGGCTGTCAGCTTTTCCAAAATATACCCACCCACACATATTCCCTTCCTGGAGAAAGCAAGGACATCAGAGGGACATTCAAGCAGATCAACAGGAGGCATTCTTATAGCGAGGAATAATTTACCAGTGTGAATTCCATTCAACAAAAGCTGCAACCTCAAAGGGGTTTGGGGCAGAGTTTTTCTTCTATAAACCATACAATCTTGTGCATAGGATGTAGCTCCCAGCAAGCCTCTGTGGTCTGATCCCAGCAGAAGGAAGGAAGGGGCACCACGTACAGAAGGAAGACCAATGAATGGTTTTGCTTACCATGCATATTTCTGTGGCAACCAAATAGCTCAGTCTATTGAACCATTCAACGTAAGCTTCCAGATTCCGAGACTTCTTCCGATCCCCGTAGGAACTCTTGAGAAGAAAACAAAAATCAGGGGTTCATTTCTCTCGCTCCGTGAGTTTAAAGAAGTGGTAGCACTTCTTTAAACTGATGATGGAGTAAAGTGAGAGAACTTTATGATCACTTCTCTCCTTCCATAAGTTTAAAGAAGTGGTAGCACCAGGCCAGGCCAGCTGGGGCTCAGAAATGAAACATGGCTGATCATGATTAGTACAGCTGGGGAAAACCTTTAGTAGATCCCAGGGTCATTCATCACTAGGTAAGTTGAAGTAACATGCCAGAATGGGGCGATCATAAATCACCCTATGGTACTGCAAGTCGTAATAATATAAATACCACAACAAAGCAGAAGTATCAGTCAGAAGATCCAGTAATCTAAGGCAGAGGTCCCCAACCTTTTGGGCACCAGGGACCGGTTCTGTGGAGAGAGGTTTTTCTGTAGACCGGAGGGGGCGTGGTTTTGTGTGCTGCCTGCATCCCATGGATGGGGCTTTGCTTGTTTGTGCAGACCGGTTGCTGGCATGCCACAGCCCGGTACTGGTCCACAGACAGGGGGTTGGGGATCCCTGTTCTATGGAAAACTAGTTAAAATAAGCTGCTGTTTAGGGTAACTTGAGTTCCCAACCATTTATAAATCTTTCCACTTTGAGTTCAAAGGAAGAGCCAAATAAAGTCAACATCAGGGGTCCGAATAGAGATAATAGGCAGAAAATGCAGATGTGAAGCTTGTGCCTTCATTTCAAGATGGGCTATTGTTTGAAAGGGCTTCCTTGCCAGCTGCTTGGTCATAAATAATGACTTGGTAAGACACCGGCCTCAGAAGCTACGCACCACATGATACTGGTACTGGTCCACAGACCGGGGATTGGGGACCCCTGATCTAAGATATGTACCTCTTTGCTGTACTCATATCTCTCCTTTATATTCCGCAACCCATTACAGCAGTGTTTCTCAATCTTTACTACTTTAAAGAGGTGTGGACTTCAATTGCCAGAATTCTCCAGTCAGCATGCTGGCTTGAAAATTCTGGAATTGAAATCCACCCATCTTAAAGTTGCCAAGGCTGAGAAACAATGCTTTGCAGCAAGTCCTATCCAACTTGTTCCTCTTTAGACCTGTTGACATCACAACACCCAGCACCAATGGGTAATGGCATGCCAGGTTGATATGCTGGTAAATATACTGGTAACTAGTTAAGGAGGAGAGTTGTAGTCTCCACAAATCTGCAGGTTGCCAGACTGAGGAAGCCCACTTTAAAAGCTAAACTAGAAAAAACCAGTTAAGGGTGTCAATATTGGAGATCAGAGACAGGTTTACTGGGCAAATATTTTAAAGCAAACTTACCCAGGTGCACTTTCTGAATTTATAATATGCAAACCAACACCATTTTTCAATGAAATCCATATTTAACTTGCACAAAAGTGAATTATTTGGGGAAAATTTTTGCAAAAATATGTGCATTAAGACAGCGGCCCCCAACTTTTTTGGTGCCAAGGACCAGTTCTGTAGTGTTGTACACTACCTGGATCCTGGGCGTGCACGGATGGGGTTTTGCTCACTTGTGTGACCTGGTGCGGTCCACAGCCTGAGGGTTGGGGACGCCTGCACTAAGATACATGTATGAAAATATGTGCAGGACTTTGAGAGCGTTTAAGAAGAGTGCAAATAATGAGGTAGGGGTTGGCACAAATGAAGAAACAAGTAAAAGCAAAGTGCCCTGGTTCATCCAATCCCAGCCAGCAATTTTAACCATAGTTTATCATTGTTTGTGCTTTTTACCTTCTCATTATCCAGGGTATCCTTCTGTACAAACGCTTGGACAAATTCTTGTGGCCCAATGTAACTAAGTCTCTCCTGAAAGAAAGAAAAATTCCACTGTATGGTCAACATTCATCCTTGTAGAAGTAAAGGTAAAAGTAAAGGAGTCCTGCAGATTTTGCACGCTAGTCGTCGCTTACTATAGGGGTGTGTATGTGCTCATCACCATTTCAAGTCATGGAGCCAGCAATGTCTGAAGACATTTCTGCAATCATGTGGCCAGCATGACATCATGGAGCATTGTTACCTTCCCACTGAAGTGGTACCTATTTATCCACTTGCATTTGCACTGCTTTTGAGAGCGTGAATTTCATTTTTAATGTGTGCCAGTATGCTCACAGTAAAAAATGGACAATAAAAGTTATCTTATCTAAGACGTGTATCTCCTGCATATTAGATTTTGTGATGAATTGTGATAAAGGGAACTGTGGTTATTTAAAGCTTGGAAATTATAAATATTAACTGTTAAATTTAAATATTAATGGGAAACTAAAAATTGGGGAAAACTAATTAGGACATTGATTGTCTATAAAGATTGAAGGTTAAAATAACCAGGGTATGTATAAACTAAAAATTATTGATAAATGTAAGAAAGTGATTTTTATTTAACTGATATAATAAGAATTGTATTAGTTTAAACGTGAGACAGTAAATACTAAGGGGAAAAGAGAGGAAATATTTAACGTAGTAGTTTGAGACTTGTACTAAAGATATTTGTATGTTATTGAATTATCGATTAACTCCGTCGCCACATTGCTTTTTAAATATTTAAATGTAA